TGACACGTATTATTTATGTACTTACATATAATCCATGTGGTGACGTTTAAGGATACGGAGTGTCACCACCCCTGTTCATCCCGTGGGTGTCATAAGAGTCGACTAACACTACATACTGCTAGCACTGCAAAGAGAAGGAAAACTTGAAACTCACCCTATACCAACCCGTCTGGCCAACGTGGTATAGTCGGCCAAAAGCTCCTTTCTAAGGAGAGGCCTACGTCCAGCAGTGAACTATTAAAGACTGTTGATGATGATGACACACACACATATATCGACATCAGGGGTATATTGATTTATATAGTAAGTTTTATACAAATTCCGAGGGTGTTTTGAAAGACAAACTAATGTAGAAAAGAATATTCTAATGTTAATGTGCCCAAAAACATTTTAAAAGCATTGATTTAAACTAGTTATTTTGGCCTAGAATAAAACACCTCCAAGTCTTACTTTTTTTACTGTCTAGTCCTTCGATCAAATAGCTCGACGATCTTTTTTTTTTACGTGTGGAAACCCCCTCGGGGTTTTCGGCGGGTTGGTGTGTCGGAATCGGACCGAATGAAACCACACGGTGTGCCATTCTGCGCTTGTAATAGGAGGGATCCGGGATCTGCTGTTATTAAGACATCCGGACCACATAGCTCGACGATCTAGTCTAACCTTTTACAGACCTAGAAAAAATCGAGTAATCTTTAAACTCAATAAATTACGGTCAATACATAGCATAGTAGGTAAATCACTGGCGAGGAACTGATAAAATAATACTGAACAAAATACTACGTTATCATTAAACTACAATCAAGAAAGCACACACACGACGTTAGACTAACACACGCACACACGCGCACGATTCACCTGTTGCTATGGTTGTATGAAGAGGCTTTGCGCAGGCGCAGGTTGTAAGTTCTCCCACTACACTGCCATAGAAGTATTTCTGACGCGTTCTTTTTAATCGTATTAGAAAGAGACGACACGCTTAACTTTTCCCTGTCGGTAAAGCAGCTCGACCTGTTGTACCGACCGCCCGACTGGATCAACGGTCTTTCTCGCGTAGCAGACCTAACTTAGTTTTAACTTAACGTTGTAAGGCAGCGTTTGTTTTATTCGATTTAACGGTCAGTTTTCAGCAATGTTGTGTTCAACACGTCACAATTTGAATTAGAGAACCGTTTGCGTGATTTTTGTGACGGCAAAAGTGTGTTTTAAGTGTTGGTTGTGACCGGTCTGGTGCTGATATAGCCTTCGCTCAGTGAATGCTTAAATCACGCCATGTACCACAGTGCTATGTAGGTTCGTTAAAAGTGCCAGTGCAAAGTTAAAATTCGAATTTGTGTTGGAGATAAAAAGGTTTTAACACGTCAATTTTGTGTCAGTTTTCTGGATAAGTGCACAGTTAAAGGATTGAGATAAACTTCAAAGTAAAACAGGGTATGTACGTATGTCCTATTACTTTCTACTATATCGATTTGTATCAATATACTAACGGTATCATTATACGAAAACACCTTTTATATGATAGTTTTGACGTGCTTTAAACAGAAAGAACTGTGAAATCAATTTCATACATATATCTGATGGAATACCCCGTTTTGTAAATTAAATTGCGATTGTATATAAAATGCTCAATAATAATATAATTTATTAATATTAAAACCTGTATGGCAGTAGTAAGGCGCGGCACTAGAAGTCGTGTGTCGGGTTCGAACCTTGACACCAGTATTTACAATCGTGGTCGTGACAGTTGTGTAGGGTCAAAAAGAAAATCTAAATAAGCTGCTTTTGACATTATGTTCAAGTGTATCAAATAAAATAAACGCACAATTATTATGCTGTAATGTTAAGGATTTTTTTTTGACGTTGATAAATAGTTGTTTTTATTTATCCACCCACATGATGTTAACTATGAACCCACAAATTTGTTTTATCGTACAATAATTTACCAACCATTTGAAAAAACCACCTTTTAAAGTTGAAAAATATTAAAGATTCTTGAAAGCTAGCTTAATTACAGTAGGTATGACATAATACGACAAAAACACTGTTATCACAATTTTATTGTTACTTTAATGAGGTTATATACCATTACCAAATGAAGTATGTCTGGTTAATATAAAATCTAGATTAGAGTTGCAATTTTATTGTGTAATAGATACTTGACATAAAAATTGCGTTCATATTGAGGAACTATTTCGGTCATGGTTCAAACAACGACAGAATTTGTGACATAAACAACAGTTTTGCTTGTCTGGATAGAGTTTGTATGATGTCCCTACATATGTATATATAAATGTAAATGTGTCCTCAAGCGTTAAAAATGGAAAAGTAATCCACTAAAAGTAGGTTAATTAACGAGTAGCGCGAAAAAGATACAAATCTTATGAAAACTGTGGCATAAAATATGAGAAGTATGAATATTCATTAGAAAAAGTGACTCTTATAATTGCCAAAATTAGAATAAGCAAATGAGATCTTCACCCCACTATCAGTCTTTGGTAGACTCCTTGTTTTATGTAAAACTCATTGTTTAGGGCGATCTTTTAGAAGTGTTCTTTAAAATTTCTTGCTCTTTAGTGTCATGTTCGAAAACTCATTAACCATAAGATGCACTTAGAAAAACCAATGTCACTAGAAGACAAACAGTCTTTACTTACAATAAAGCAAAAAATATATGTGTGTACGTGAGTGAGTGTGTGTATAAGTAATTATGACTTGTACAAAATATAAATTTATCGCTTTTTCGTTTACTTTGCGCAGAAAGGAAATTGTGTAATTACTATGAAAACAAAAACGTTCACATATTTTCCCAAATTATATTCGTATATTCCAATTGTTAACTTCTATAATATTCCTGTTTAAACTTTCACTACGGTCTTTTATAAGCATATGTCTATAATTAACATAATTCTCAAGCAATATCCTGTATTAATATAAACTTACTAAATTAGACGACAATTTCTTATCGTCGAAAGATCGATCGCGTCCGCTAATTAACAATTTCTGATTACATTTAGGGTGTTATATTTAGTTATAGTCGAAGAGTATTATAAAATTCGTATAGAACCGTTATACAATCAATCACTAAACATATTTTAAACAACATATAAAACCGTATGTATCTTGATACAGTCGTAACAAGTTATCATGCCAGTTTGTAGAGAAACCTCTTTAAATGAAGCTGATTGTAACCTTAATGTCTCTCACCCGAGAGTGCAGCAAGTTTACAGAGTATTTGTGGTTAACACTCTGGCACAGTTTAGTTCTACGTAGAGGCTATAACTTTAAGCATATAATATATGTAAGTGTTAGTAAACCTCTTTTACAACACAAACTCTTTAAACGATTTTTTTTAAACTTGGGTTTATTTTCGGTTTATTTTTGTTGACGACCAGACCCATTATAGTTGATGTCAAAAGATAGATCCATTTGTTATGCAAAAATTTTTTGATAACATTAATTATTGAAATGTTCGTGAAACATGATTTATTATAACTATTTATATATTAGATAATCATTGTATACATTATTTATAATAAGTATTTAATTTGAAACAAATACTGACTGTTAACTTGTTTTACTTTTTCTTAAGTAACTTGGGGACTTTGTTGATTTAATCTTAGAAAATTTCACAAACAGTATTGTCAGATACCACTTTAAACACTAACACGATCGCGATTAAACTAGTGAATTATTAAACCGATACCACTTCAAAGACAGTGTCAACACAACCAAGATTTTCAACAAACTTTAACAAATGACTATTGTTCAGTTTTCAATTATAAATCTATCACGTACTTTCAAAGATATATCAACTTTATGAACAAAGTGTTAGAGTTCAGAATACATTAAAACGGTAACTCGAATGTATAAAAAATGCCAACGCAGCACATTCCAGGAATGCCTTTAATTAGAGAAGCAGGTAACTTCGAAGGTGCGGCGCTGTATTCTACTGTGACATTAACATCTTTACTTATAGGACTGTTAACTGTTTACCGGCACCATTAAATAATTTTGACGGATTTTTTGTGAAATGATTTTAAAATATATTTTAAAGGAACCAGCGATTTATTAGTTAATATATCCCTTGATCGGCCACTCCGTCATCTGCAAGACAGCTGACCTATATACGTCAGCTGTAGTTTTCATTTAAATATTCCACTTGACGTTTTGACGTGTTCTGTTACATTTACCAAAAAACTTACACTTTATTATTTTTGTATTACTGAAAATTGTTTATTTCTATTTAACTTCGGAACTTCATGGAATGAATACATATATCACGTAAAATAGCTTCTAGTGCTTACAGACGCAATGCTATTTTCTGGAATCAAATGACTTGATTATGAAGTCGGGAAAATAACTTAGAATTATTTATTTCTTTGATAAGTGTGAATGTTAAAGCATAATAAGGAAGTAATAAGAATATTTTCAAGCGATTACCGCTTTACATTCATTCCTTTAAAAAAGGTGCGCTCATTATAAGTCATTGAATGCTTTACGAGTATACTTTGAAAACATAACAATACACGGTTACTTCCTAAGAATGTTGAACTCTCAAAATAAATGGTAAGAACTTCCCACGCAAATATTACCTACCATGATCGTATCTCGGCAAAAATGTACTACGTAAGTTGCGCATTATGTGATCTTAAAATGGTCGTCTAGAAATAACATTCATCGGGATAGTTGAAAAACAGGTTTCGGGTATTGGATGGCAAAAATTTATTACCTTCCTTATAAATTGCCAGATTCGTTTATATTACTTTATTTCGTTTAGTAGTATAATAATCGTTTCGTTACCGGTTCGTTATACATAGATAAAAAGTACGTTTTATATTACTACTTAAACTAGTAATTGGACGTGTTATAAGCTTAAACTTAGTAAACAGTGTAGTAAATATGTGATTAGAAGTTATGTAACCTTATTGCTTAATACAGGACAGTAGAAATAAACCCACTTTAATTTTGACTCGACATTAAATGTAATGAAACTTTTTCTGAAGGTTCAAAAGCACTTACGGCAAAGAAAGTGAGTAAAGATCGAGGAAACAGGAAAGGGGGCATCAAAACGGGCTTGGCACATCGACCGCGTAACCCTCGGACGCGATGTCGACGTCAGATGTTCACACGCCTTGAGATCCGCGGCGGCCGCGCCGGCCACGCGGGCCCCAAGTGGAATCTCGTGAAAGTTGGCCAACACTCGCTCAAGATCAAGTGGATGGGTCGCCAGAACCAGTTTTGTGAATCGGCAAGTGTAGGCAACGATGACTTAGGAATCTACGCCGAAACTGGTCGCTTTGATAAACAACTAGCGACTGGTGAAGGCGAGGAAATAGACCATTAATAAAAAATATTTATGGAACTAGAAAACGAGATTTAAATTATTCTTACTCGTGATAAAATCGCGATATTGTGTGTTAATTTGGTTTCCAAATGTCAATGTATTATTTATTTAAGCAAAATTAGCAGAATAATACAATAGACACACCCAGACGATGGATATCTTCCGGCAAGTTCTTTTGGTTCCAGATACATAATAATATCATATAAAAATACTTCATTCATTTCAACGTCACTCTGAGGTTGGCGGCAGGGAATGGCTTTTAGTATAAATACATAACCCACGGGCTTCTCAATATCTGCCCTGCAGTATTTAATTTTTTATCATTTTTGCATTGTGGAACCTATAAGTTCTCAATTTGAATTAATGTTTATTAGTTTAGTCTAATATTATACGTATTTATATATATAAATATAAAAAAGTAGTGTGCAGTACTATAAGAACTGTTTGGGATATATAGAAAAAAAACAAAATAAAAAAAAACACAATAACCTAAACGGAGCCACGCGCTAAAGCTAGTAAAGTACGTAATAGTTACGGTGTCGTTTCGTTTCGGTTCAGTGTAATTAGTTCAAGCACGGCCGCTACTATTAATGCACCATGTCCGCAGCCGTGAACAACTATTTAAATGAATGGAGAAAAAATCTCCCATGCGATTCCTCTCACGTGCCATTGTGAATTGTTTCAGCTATCTAAATGCTAACTGTCGAGTTTTAATTGTTACGATCTCATTGTCACCGGTATCTGTGATCTCACAGCGCTGGTGTTGCAATAGAATAGGGCCTTAGATTATATACAATATGTTTTGTTGGTTATCGGTGTGAAAAGCAGGATGAAATATTTAGAAGTTGCAATGGCTTTATAAATGCTGTCCTTTGGAATTTTTGTCTGAGAAGTTATTAAAAAAGAGTATGTTCTTATTACCTTATCTACTTATTGTAAATGTAATTTTTAATGTAACTTAAACACATGCCTGCGTTACAATTTTGTTAAGAATCGTAGATCATACTTTTGTTAGTGAGCTCGAGATATAAATTCAGTCATGTGGGATACATAAAGGATTGCAGGGGCATATTAAACTCGTTATCACACATCAACAACCTTTAATAGTCCATTGCTGGACATACGCCTCTCTTTAGGATTAAACTTTTGACGACCGAATGGCGTAGGGGTTTGTGTAACGGACTGCTATTCCAAAGGTCGCGGGTTCGATTCCCGCTCAAGTCAAACATTTGTGTGCATGAACATTTAATGTTTGATTTGGTCTGGGTGTTTCTATGCATAATAAGTATGTATTTACAAAAACGAAGTATATGTATATTTATATCAGTTGTCTAGTAGCCATAGTACAAGCTCTGCTTAGTTTGGGACTAGATGGCGTTGTGTGAATGTGGTAGAATATTATTATTATTACAAACTCTTACACTTTTTCTTAACTATAATTTGGTCCTACTCTAACAGGGAAAAGCCTTTGGGTTCGCAAAGCACTTTGGGGATAAAATAATGTTAGGGAATGGTAGGTAACGAAAAGAAATGGATGAAGCTTGATATTGCTTACACGAATAGATTAAGGGACATAATAAGTAGCTCGAGCAGGCTAGAACCGCATACCTGTACCTAGAGCATACTCTTGTCATGACGTCCGAGCCCTCAATTACGGTGTGTAAGTAAAAAAGAGTTAACTTGTGTTATGTAAAGTTATTATTAATTTATTAATTTAAGAATTTGTTTTTAATGTCTAAGTTAAAAAAAAGTTGAAATAAATATGTAAATAAAGCTGACTGATTAAAAGTACTTTGTTTTAAAAATGCTTAGGCTTGCTTCAGGACAAATAATATCAGTCCATTGCTTATATGTGAAACAAACCCTATATATACTGTTGAAGTTTGTTAGTTAGCTGCGGATAAATAAACAAAGGCGCGAATGCTTACCCAGCTTATCTCAAATATTTACATTTAAATGGCTATTGGTTACCGTTTCTGTAGATCTAATCGAATGTCTTATTATATTGAGCAATGTGGGAGTAGAAACTACTGCGTTGATTAGCGCATTACCTTTTCGTTTAATCATTACACTTTCAAAGTATTTATTTAATGGCAATTGCTTGGCAATAAATATTTTCGGGTATGGTATAAGTTTATGGTATGGTCATACAGTTTTGTTGAGTTACAAACATAAACGAAATGTTCTGATCTTACGGTCGAGGGCCCGAACCTCACCTATTTTATTTACGGGGTACGTTAAGTCCGTGACTTGTGAAATATGAAAATTGTTTCAGTTAATCCTGTAACTTAATTCGTAAATATTAAAAGTGTATCGAGCTTTTTTTATATAAGTACCTGATAATATAATATACGTGTACACTTATTAGTACATACTAATTTAATACATATTTAAACACTCACGGATGGATCCATGTTGTACAGAGTATAGAGGTCAATTTACAAATGTACAATAATAAAAAACAAATAACACAAATATTGTCTCTCGCGGAGGTCGAACCTACAACATTTCACTGTTTGGCAAACATATCGCAACTTGATTCATTTAACTAGTGTGATTGTTTTTGTTAAAAAAACTAATCGCTATCTAATAAGTGCTATCGAATAATATCCAATATTTTTCCATTTCAAAACAGTGTTGATAAATCCACATCATTGGTACTTAGGCGGAATATCGTTATGCCGTAACCTAGTCAATAAATTCAGATCTGTAGTACACAGTATACTAACCGATATTTCATAAGAGGTTTAAAAAGTACATCTTCGTCTTGTTTCATGGTTATTCGTAAACCTGTTTCGAAGTCGACCAAGTGGTCCTATAAAATTAATAAGGTCACTGAGACACCATCATAAATTTTATACAACACATTATTATGTGCTGTTGGGGAATTACTATGGTCGCGACGAAAGAATTTAATCGACAAGGTACTAGCCTATTTGAATGAACGTGGTCAATGCATTGGTAAGTAAAATTTATAATAACCCTACCTGTTACAGTCAACGCCTAGTTGTGTTTGCAATTTAGTAAACTATCAAATCTTTTCAAGACTTCAAGTTCTTGCGTTAAACATGGCATATTAAAATACATAAAGCTAGAAAATAATTTTATAAAAACTTTGAAATTTGGTTCGGTAATAGTTAGTCCAACTACTGTTTTTAATTTTTCACTGGTTGCTTCATTCTCTTGGCTTGACACTTATTTTTTTGAGTTTATGACATTAGTAAATATAAAGATAAAATAGATTTAATATGACGTGGTATTAACACTGGTAGAATAACATAATGCTTTCAACTAGGAAACTGTTTTTCACACTATTAAATTTTAAAAGATTGTATTGGAACATTGTACACTGCTAGTAAATACGGTTGTTGGAGCTTCATAGAGACAGGGTAGAAGTCAACAACGCCTGATCGGCATTTGCAGGATTACGAGTATATGTGTGGCTTACCGTTACGTGGGCAGTAATAATTACCACATTTGCATCCAAGAATTGTATATATTTGAAGTAGATCATTATCTAGAGATGCTTGATTTGCTTGTTCAGATTGGACAATTTCAGTAAAAAAGTGTGTTGTGTTATTTAAATGTAACTTCTTTAAATATTTTCATGTGAGGATTTCTTTAAATATTTTAGATATAGATTAGGCTTGTTACTTGTGATTAAAATAATCTTACGATCTAAACTATTTAATTATTCAAACTTCCTCATAAATGTAAATTGTCTATTTGTAAGCAAATTATTTAAAGTCCCCTTATTCTCGGTGTAATATTCTGTCGAAAGGTGTAATAGGCTTAAAATGACAATCAATTAAGTCCCGTACTCGACGGGGTCCATTTAAGAGGCGGTTACACAAGTAACCTTTAAGTCAAAGGTGTAAGTGACAGTTTGTCAAGAAGCGTGCTTGTCGCTTGCAGCTGCACTTTTTATGGATTTCAACAGCTGATAACATGTTACAAAGAAGACACGTGCCAACATTAAAATAACTATGAAAATGTTAGGTGCACATTGCGCTAGTTAAGATACATTGAAGTGTATTTTCTCTTTTAATATTTTACTTACTACATATTAAATCGTGTAATGCTGTAATGTTAACACCTACATGGATGTCAATACTTCTTTCTGCTCACTTCTTTCTCTTTATTCAGTCAGTTTGGAAAAATACAATATTGTATAAAAAAATACCTGTCTATTAATTTCTTGGTGTTGTGTTTCATCACCTCCAGCACCCATTAATTTATACTTATTATGTAGCATGATGCGTTACAAAAGGTCGAGCTTGTGTTTTAAAAATAATAAATTGGAAAATACAATCGCGCAATTCAATAAGATGATGATAAAGTCCATCTTGGGGTAAAAAAAATTGTGCTGATTTTATTCGGCTTTCGAGATTTCTGGTATAGACACATAACTAACACAGAAAAAAATATTCTATGCTAAAAATATTTGTACTCAGTGCTCTACAGCTATACAATCACGTCAATCACCTTCTCTACAGTGTAAAATCAATCTCTGAATACGATGTACACTTGCACATTGACATTTCCGTCGCGTGCGGTCTTACGTGACTCATATGATATCGTGACGTTTACCCTTCCCTACTGGCGCCAATCCACCAATCAGTAGGTACCTTGCTTTATAGCTCACCAGAATTAATTATTAGTACTTATGCTTAGAGAATTCTTACCGTACTTTACACCGTGTGAAGTGTGGTGAGTGAAATTCGGGATTGACAATTATTATTCATATTAAAAATATAAAGTAGTTAAGAAAACTACTTTATATTTATATATTATATATATAAATTAATATGACCATAGAATTTGTTAAATTTAGTTACAAATTTGGTGGCATTTATAAATAAATAAGCGAGAGACAGAAACGGGAACTGTATTGATTTGACTTTCTACTACCATAATGTTAAAAATGTTATATATTTTCTATGTTTAGAGTCTAGAGGTATTGAAGGTTGTATTTTGATTAAGATAGTTTTATCTAAAAA